CCGCATCCTGCCCCCCCGCAGCCGGGAGGAAGGGCTGCAGGGTGCTGGCTGCATCCCCTCGGTTAAAGAAAAAACCCGAATTTTCATAAAAATACACTTTTCTTAACCCTGGCACGCCTCACGCCTTCAGTATTTGGGGTGAATTCTGCGGGTTTTCATCCCAGGAACCGCCTCCGGCACGCATCCTGCCCCCCCGCAGCCGGGAGGAAGGGCTGCAGGGTGCTGGCTGCATCCCCTCGGTTAAAGAAAAAACCCGAATTTTCATAAAAATACACTTTTCTTAACCCTGGCACGCCTCACGCCTTCAGTATTTGGGGTGAATTCTGCGGGTTTTCATCCCAGGAACCGCCTCCGGCACGCATCCTGCCCCCCCGCAGCCGGGAGGAAGGGCTGCAGGGTGCTGGCTGCATCCCCTCGGTTAAAGAAAAAACCCGAATTTTCATAAAAATACACTTTTCTTAACCCTGGCACGCCTCACGCCTTCAGTATTTGGGGTGAATTCTGCGGGTTTTCATCCCAGGAACCGCCTCCGGCACGCATCCTGCCCCCCCGCAGCCGGGAGGAAGGGCTGCAGGGTGCTGGCTGCATCCCCTCGGTTAAAGAAAAAACCCGAATTTTCATAAAAATACACTTTTCTTAACCCTGGCACGCCTCACGCCTTCAGTATTTGGGGTGAATTCTGCGGGTTTTCATCCCAGGAACCGCCTCCGGCACGCATCCTGCCCCCCCGCAGCCGGGAGGAAGGGCTGCAGGGTGCTGGCTGCATCCCCTCGGTTAAAGAAAAAACCCGAATTTTCATAAAAATACACTTTTCTTAACCCTGGCACGCCTCACGCCTTCAGTATTTGGGGTGAATTCTGCGGGTTTTCATCCCAGGAACCGCCTCCGGCACGCATCCTGCCCCCCCGCAGCCGGGAGGAAGGGCTGCAGGGTGCTGGCTGCATCCCCTCGGTTAAAGAAAAAACCCGAATTTTCATAAAAATACACTTTTCTTAACCCTGGCACGCCTCACGCCTTCAGTATTTGGGGTGAATTCTGCGGGTTTTCATCCCAGGAACCGCCTCCGGCACGCATCCTGCCCCCCCGCAGCCGGGAGGAAGGGCTGCAGGGTGCTGGCTGCATCCCCTCGGTTAAAGAAAAAACCCGAATTTTCATAAAAATACACTTTTCTTAACCCTGGCACGCCTCACGCCTTCAGTATTTGGGGTGAATTCTGCGGGTTTTCATCCCAGGAACCGCCTCCGGCACGCATCCTGCCCCCCCGCAGCCGGGAGGAAGGGCTGCAGGGTGCTGGCTGCATCCCCTCGGTTAAAAAAAAAAACCGAATTTTCATAAAAATATACTTTTTTTTTAACCCTGGGACGGTGCATGCCTTCAGTATTTTGGGGTGAATTCTGCGGGTTTTGGTGTTACACAATGGCCTGGAAATAGGAGTGGGGCTTGTGGGAAGCGCTGATGGGGCAACACGACGCAGTCCTGCCCCGCGCCACTGCTGGAAGGACCCTATTTTCCCCTAAAGAGACCCAAATTCACACTGGTCACTGCCCCACAGCGAGGCCTGATACTGGGGTGAGGGTCTGGATGAGCACCGTCGCTCCCCCACAAAAGCTTTTGATAGGTCTCAAAGGGGAAACGGTGCCAAAAAAACCCCAGAGCTTTCCCCCAGAATTCATCTCTTTGTGACAATTTGGGTTTTTTTTTTCCCTTCATCCCAAACGAGGACGGATCCTGCACAAAATGTAAACGCGCTCTGGGGAGGAATAAAACCAGAGACCAGTCCATAACTTGAGGCTGGAAATATTAAACAAAAAAAGGGGGGGGGGGAACTGAGGAGCTAATCCAAGGGGTCCCCAACCCCTGTGCCAGCCCCATCTGGCCCGTGGCATACCCCAAATCCCACCCCGCATCGCCCCGGCTCCCTC